CACACACACACACACACACACACACACACACACACACACACACACACACACACACACACTACAAATAAAATGTACACAGGACCTACAATGAGTGATGACTAGATCCCTTTGATACAGGCAAGAGAAACTCCCAGAATGTAGAGTACAGTATTATAATACTGAAATGTGTGACATCTCCCCTTCCATCCCCTTTAAATAACTCTACCTTGTAGACCAGTCTGTGGTGCAGGCCCCTATGGATCCAGTAGATAAGCATGTCCGTGAAAAAGAGGAAGGATACCACGCTCATAATGAGATGAATCCAGCCTAAAAAAGACCATGCAGAACAAGACCATGTAGAGTTAGTGTTCCCTTTCCACATGTCCACACAAACGCAAAAGGGCATCCAAAACTCAACCTGATCAACACATTGTAGGTTTGTCTCCCTCTGCTACCTAGAACTGCTTACGTCCCTCACTCCTCACCTAACAACTTGAAATGTTCTACCTGCCATTAATTTTGTAATCTTTAATTGAAATTTGGCTGCTATAGAGAACCATAAAAATTGCCCATGCAATATTTTTCTATTTTATGATTTAAATAATAATCACCATCATAATAACAACTTTGTTTTGTTTTCCAAGACATGGTTTCTCTGTGTAGCCCTGGCTGTCCTGGAATTCACTGTAGAACAGGGGTGGACTCAAACTCAAGAGATCTTCCTGCTTCTGCTTCCTGAGTGCTAGTATTAAAGGCTTGTGCCACCAATCTTAGCAGTTAACTTTATTATTTTTAATTATGTGTATGTGTGTGCACGTGAAGACCAGAGGCTCTGGTTCCCTTGTGGCTAGAGTTACTGATAGTTGTGAGCGACGTGATGTGGGTGATGGGAACTGAACTCAGGTCCTCTTGACTGCAGATCTTTCCAGCACAAGTATTTCTTAATTAAACTACACAAATGCCTATGAGACAGGACATTCCGCTGTTTTCCTTCATATTAGCATTCCTAAATCCTATCATTGTACGCTCCCTCCTTGTCTGAGGCCTAATTTTCCACTAAATACTGTCACTCTAAACATTCGACCCATAATCAGCCCCTTTCTGGTATTTCCAGCCTCATCCTCCTGGGACTTTACTCCAGTGGCTCTGATGCACTCAACCTACCCCAGGGCCTGAGGCATCTATCTCACCTCTGGCTCACACTGCCCTCTCCCTGATTTTGTTCATTCTCTCACTGCCTCTTGTAATTAACCACCTCCTACTTTGAGAGCAGAGCTCTGATAAGGCATGCCCGGGCTCAAGCCTCTGACCTATCACCTATTTGCTGAGCACATAGGCAGATTCTCCACACTCTGTTCCCCATGTGCCCCTTTCTAAGAACAGCCTAGCAACAAGACCTGCCCTGCAGAGCCGTTGAGGAAAACACTGGGCTGACACAAAGCCGAGCGGAGAACTGCTGCTGGCACATGTCAACCTCAATGAATGCTATTATTCCTTCTTATATTCTGGGTGCCAGGAATGTGTCTTGAAGTAATTTCAGAACTACATACAAGTCAAGTCAGGGCAAGATTGCTTTTAAAGAAAAAGAAAACAAAACAAAACAAAAGCTCTAAATGTACAGGTGTAGGGGTCAATTTCTAAATTCTGGACAGAGACACAAGGAACTATAACTGATATAGTCTATGACAATAGTTACAGATATGAAACAATGAGCATTTTTATTACAACCATCAGAATGATACTCCATGAGCAGTACTGCCTTTCTGTGATGTAATCAAGGGAGTGGCAGGCACAGATGAAAGACAGGACAAGACAGACAGGAGGGAGGACCAGATAGACGTGAGGGAGAATATGGCAGAGAGGAGGGAGGACAAGACAGACAGAAAGGACAACACATGGACAGGCGAATAATGACTTGTAGTTTCTAGGCAGCAGGACAGCAGACTGTGATTTGCACATACTACTGGAATTATTTTCCCAGCGGTGTGAAGTAACAATCATCGGAAATAAATACAAGGGCCCATCCCAGGTCAGTATTTCCCTTAGACACAATGTCGTCCAAGAATGACTTTGAAAACGACAGTGAAGTTAAGAAAGTGCAAGACACAAACTGCAGAAAGCAGAAGTGAAACAACTGGACAGTTTGAAAGAAAGAAGAAACAGGCAGGTTTGGCGTTTAAACACAGTAAACACAGTGGAGGCACATTATGCAAATTTAAAGCCAGCCATGGCTACCTAGCAAGACCCTGTCAAGAAAGAAAAATTGAAAGATAAAGGAGGGGACAGAGAGGAGGGAAGGAAGGAAAGCAGAGAACACAGGAAAGGTGAGGAGAAGGGAGGAGGGCAGGCAGGCTAGCTGGGGAGACAGCTCAGCCAGTGCAGCACTGAGGACCTGAGTTTGATCTTTAGGAACCACACAGAAATGGCAGGTGTGGTAATATGGATTTGGAATTTCAACACTGGTGAGGTAAAGACAAACTGGGGCTACCTGCCAGCCAGTCTGGGTAAAGTGTAAAATCCAGGCCCATGAGAAACCCCGTCTAGACTTGGCCAGGAGCATATGCCTTTAGTCCCAGCACTTGGGAGGCAGAGGTGGATGGATCTCTGTGTGTTTGGGGCCAGCCTGACCTACTTAAGTGAGTTCCAGACCAGCCAGGGCTACATACTAAGGCCCTGTCTCAGAATAAACAAAACAACAGGAGGTAAAGAGTAATCCTGAAAGTGACATTTGAGGTAACCCTCTGGCCTACTGTGCCCATGAACATACATACGCACATGAATAAACGCACACATGAACACATGCACACACGCACACAGAATAAATAACAAACAACAGACGAAAAGGGGGAGAGATGGGCAGAGAGAAAGGCCACACTACCTTGTATTTAGAGCCTCCCGGTATCCACTCACCATTTGGAAAGTCTCCTATGTCATCGTAGAGTTTGCTGTAGCCCCTCAACTCCAGTAGAAACAGTGAAATGGTGGGGATACTGATCCACGGCAAAGACTTGACAGTGTACATGATCTCTCGAGAGACCTGATTCTGAAGATGAGAGGTCCAATTATTTAAAAGCCACAAAATCTGTTCAACAAGACTGTCATGAAGTTGATTGGGGATGGACTTTTAAATAGTCTTGTCTGCTCCTAGGCCCAGGCTCATGTCAGTCAAGAACATCATTGAACTATGTTCCTACCTCTCAAATTTTCTCTCTTTTCCTCCGATTTTACTTTACATTTAATTTTTAACTGTGTGTACATGTGTGTGTTTATGTAGAGATATTTGCATGTGAGTGCGATGTCTGCAGAGGCCAGAAGATCCCAGGGAGCTGGTGTTTCAGGCAACTGTGAGCTGTCAATATTGGTGCTATGTGCGGAAGATGGATCCTCTGCAGAAGCAACATGCACTCTTAGCTGTTGAGTCCACCCTTCAGGTCCACTGAATTCTCTTTCATACTAAAAGTCTTACTCCCAAACTTTTCGTGTGAAAATTTTATTGCATGGGAAAGTGTAAGAAAAGCATTCCTTGATGCCAACCAAAGGCGGCAAGTACCGTGACTTCTGAATTCTTTTCTCTTCACCAAATCTGTATGAGTTTCTACTTATAGAGTAATATTTAACTGAATGTCCCTCCCCAGCTCCTTTCGGTTCATGGACTATCTAACAAATGATCACAGAAAATTTTTCCAACCTGATTATGAACAAGCCTTAACTGTTGAACTTAAATCCCCAGCCCAGCCAGAGAAAAACATACATGGTAAAAACACCTTTCAGCTTGCAAAAGCCAGAGAGTAAAATATTCACATAAGCATAATGATTACATACATACATTTATTCATCAATATCAGCAAGGTCATTCTCATCTATGTACCTGGTGACGAAAGAAAGATTCCAGGCTATCAGAAAACAATGAGATCCACTTATTATTTAGAATACAAGAAGGAAAGAGGTGATTAACCCTTATAAAAATACCCACTTTCAGGGGGTTGTTTGCAAAAAAACTTTACTTACATAAAACCAGCCTAATTAACTAAAAACCTCACAAATACATTATTTGTATGATAACAGAAGCTAGAAAAACCTCTTACCTTTAAAAACTGCGGATGCTTCATTAACGAATGATCATAGACTAAATAATAGCTGAGGGTTGCACAGAAAAAGTAGAGAATATAAGCCCCCAGGTTGGTGACTATCAGGAGACTAATAGTTTGCCGGACGATGTTGTCCTCAGGCCATGTGGCTGGGTAGACGTACGGGGTGAAGAAGTAGTAATCTGCAGCGCTGAGAACGAGGTCCATCGCGGCCCCTGCAGGACAGGCGTGTGGCAATTCACTTTTCTCATCTCTACAACGTTTCAGAAAAGCTGTCTGCGGTTTCCAGACTAACAACAACCTTAGGTCGCATGTGTGTGGCCGTCAGCTACAGCTTTGGCAGCAGAAGAGGGTATGGAGAGGTATCGTTCCTAGTCTGACCTCTTCAGTGTTGGAATTAGACACTGGTCACACTGCACAGTCAGGATTCCCAAGCGATGGAGCAACATGGTACAAGATACCTTTGACAGGATTTCTTCTCCTTTGGTTATCATCCTACGTTTTGGCTTAAGCACTAGCTATTGCCACAAATGTCTTTAGCCATCCATGCTGCCATGCTATCCTCACTCACACTTAATGGCCTTCTAGCACTTTCCCAAGCATACCACCAGAGGCAACATGATCAGCGTTTAGCATTTCTTCAAGAGTAGCCTCCCCTGGATTATTCACGGCCTGATGCAGCTAAGTATCGCTGTCTTTTTAGTTTTGGACAATCCTTCAGCTGGGCTGGGGAGAAGGCTTAGTCAACAAAGTGCTTGCCTTGTGAAGACAACGACCTGAGTCTGGACCCCCAGAACCTGGGTGAAGAACAGGGCATGGTGGCTTGCATCTAAATAATCCCACAGATGGCAAGATGAGAGGGAGAAATAAGAGGACCCTGGAACTTTCTGGTCAGCTGGCTCAGCTGTGCTGTGAAGCCTCATGGAGAGTTTTAAGCCAGTGAAAGGCTCTCTCTCAAACAAAAGATGGAAGGCGCCCAGGAACAATAACTGAAGTTCTCCTCTGACCTCCATGTGCGCACGTGTGCGTGCACGCGCGCGCGCGCACACACACACACACACACACACACGCACACACACACACACACACACAGAGGAAACTCTTCCAATCATCCACTGGCTTATCACTGTCTGCTCACATAATAAACATTACTTTTCAAACATTTATTTTTATGTTATTTTATATGCTTATTTGTCTGAATATATGCCACATGAATGCTGGTGTCTGCAGGAGCTAGATATTGACTCCCCTGGGGCTGACGTTACAGGTGGTTCTGAGTTGCCTGATTCGAACAATGGGAACTGAACTCGGGTCCTCTGCAAGTGTTCTTAACTGCCAAGGCACCTCTCCAGCCCTAGTATACATTTATTAATGCTGATCTACCAATACCGTTTTACTCAGTAATTCTGAGAACAGCTCTTTATGGATGAGCTGTTCTAGGAAATCATGATTGCCAGGCCTATGTTAACTATGCAGGATCTAAACACTTGCTTTTCTAAGCATGACACAACTTAGTGAGAAAGGCTGTCCTACAGTTACAGTGGAGGGAAAGAAAACGCTGTAAACATTCTTTTTAATAGGAAGTTAAGGAGAAGAATGTCCAAAAATCTTGTCTAGGAATAGACTTCCAGGTATTTTTCATTGTCCCGTTTTCTTTGTTTCTAACCCCTCCCTTCTTAATGCTGCTCTTAGCACACATCAGCCTATTAATACGCATTGCCATTCCTGCATTTATATAGTCCGGTTTCAGGATGAATGCAGACACTGGTGATACAGACAGGAATACCTGGTATGTGACCCAAGAAGCAGTGGGTACGTCAGTCACTCGGCGTCAGGATCTGTCATCAGCTGGGTCCCAGTGCTGAGGCTGTGAGAAAAACAAAACAACCAACTGTTTGGTTCTCAGGGCTTCCAGGCTTTGAGACAACTGCTCCTGTACTATGTAAACTCTTACAGGCACAGTAGTTCCAAGGAGAAACTGTGTGTGGCAATCTGGTGCAGGTTGCTCAAGTGCTCCCTGTAGGTACTGAGCTGGGTTGTACATCCTCAAACGACGGAGGGCAATGTCAATTTCTCGACAATCCCCGGGGTATCTTCAACTCAATAGGAAAGAGAAGATGCCTCAGTGCATACTTGACTCATGTTTTCCTTGAGTGGTATTGAGCACAACTTCATGTATTTGTAATAAATTATAGTTTTTCTATGAGTGGGTGGTAGCTTTTTTCTTTCCTCACTTTTGCCTGGGATCTTTCAGTTTCTTCATTTAAAAAAAAATCTTTCCTACCCCTCCTCTTCTCCCTCCATCTCCATTACGCAAGCCATCCTTCCTCCACAGTTCTCCTAGGAGCCTGGACCATAGGCTCGCACCCAGCCCCAGCTAAGAGCTTATTTAACAAGAAGATCAGCCCTTTGCTTTTTGGGAAGAATCAAAAAGTTTTTCTCTTATTTCACCATGAAGAGAAAAATTCACATTAAATATTAGGTGTTCATTTCTCCATCATATAGGCCACTGCTAATTCGATAAACAACTTAACAGGTAACCAGTGCTAGGTGGTGATAAGACACCCACACGTTCATATGATTTTGTACATCATTTTAAGAGTTAAATCCCTAAAAGTCAGAGAGGCCCCATGGACTCTAAGTCAGAGATTATTGATTGAAACTGAAGTTTACATTAAATTTTATACTGCCTTTGCAGAAAAAAAAAAATTTTTTTTCTTTAAAACATGGTTCGCAATCAAATGAGCCTGGCTCCGCTGGCCTAGTATGTCCAAAGCCTCGGTTCCTTCCCCAGCATCAAATAAGTAAATACACTATCATACTTAAATGACTTTAAACTATTATATTTTTCTTAACTGGAAAAAAGCACAGAAACAACTGCTAGTATCTATCTATCTATCTATACATTTTTTAACGTACATATTATTTTAAGCCCCGCCCACCTCCCCCGCACCCCTTTCCTTAGGTACTGGCTGTGTGGCTTGGAACTTGAACTCTTGGATTCCCTGCACATCTCATGTGGCTTTTACACATTTGTAGATGTAATGGAGAGGTTCTCTCATCTAATTCGCACAAGTCTATAATGTATGTACTTGTATAGCCTTAATATGCGGGACAGTGAACGCAGGGATAACTTAAATCACTTTGCTCTGTAAGGAGTCGATGTGACGTAAAGCCCAGCGGCTGTTTCTTCTCCAGCATTACCCCTCTAGAGTCACACATACGGCTAAGGAATTCTGAGTTCTCCACACTACTACATTACATAATGAATGCGAACCGCCAGTAAGATAGCAAGGGTCAAATGGCAAGCACTTTAACAAAACCGATGAGGATACATACCCACTAACCCACAAAGTGTCCACCAAGTAACTTCTCCACCGAGGCCATGTTCTCACTTGTACCACCTTCGAATTTACTCGGCAATAAAGCAGGGATGCCAGTATACCCTATCTAATGATGGTTCGGTTCAAGCACGCAAGCTGCCGCTTATAGTCCTCAAAAAGGCAGGGAGCGCCGGCCCATCACCCTCCCCAGGTCGCGGGGAACTGTGTCAGACACTGGTTCTCAACTTCAAGACTTCTCCCGTCGCAAAGCAAAGCACCAGCGCTTTCCCTCTCCCCCTGGATGTGGGATCCCCAACAGGTAACCCCCAGCACCGGCCGGGAGCCCGCTCTCCCGGGCCGGTGTCCTTCCCTGTCCTGCCAGAGCCCTGTCTTCATCGCAGGCCCCTGGGCCCAAGGTGTCCACCGAGCCACCACCCCACGCCATCTGCGCTTTTGGCGGGGACGGACACACCTGCGCCGAGGATGCCGTACACCTGGGGAATGCCCGGAACCTGGGAGATCCCTCGCGACCGCGCGCAGGTCCTTCGACTCGCGGCTGCCCAGAGGGCGGCGCACGGAACCTACCTGCAGGGCGGGAGCTGCTCGGTTCGCCGCCGCTTTATCGCCTACGGGAGGCTGAAGCTGGAGAGCCCTAGACACCGCCTGCTCGGCAGAGCCCCGCCCCCGTGCAGGCAGCCCGCCAATCAGCGGCCGGCGCCATAAGCTGATGTGACGGCGGATCGCGCGACTGGGACCTGCGCAGCCTCGGAGGTCACGTGGTCGGCGGGCGCGGGCCCCGCCCCCTGTCCTCTCAGCCAGACAAACCCGGCGCTGGGGCGGCGCGTCTGGGTGCTGCTGCGGAGCTGGATGCTCTCCCGCCCACTTTCAAGTTGACGAGATTCATGCAAACGACCTGGCGTGAGTGTAAAATAACCCTCAGCGTGAAGGAGTGACGTTTCCGACGACGTTAAGGGCAGAGTCATTTGTCACATTCAAATGGATCCAACAGTCACCGATTTTCCGTGTTTTGTTTTGTTTTGTTTTTCCGACCTTCCCGGAGAAAGTTCTCTTATGCAGCATTAGAATATGTAAATTGAAAAATATGTGTAGCGTAGTAAGTGAAAAAAGCAGTTATTAACGGCAAAAAGAAAAAAGGAAAAAAAAAGTTATGATCTGGCCAAACCTGTTTACGTAGGTGTTTAAATACTGACAAAACGAAAATATAGATAGGAAAAAGCAAATGCACCTAAAAGATCAAGTTGGCTAATTATGACTCAGGACTCTAGACTGCAACGCATTCTATATAAAACACAAGAGCTCTAGAGCTCGCGAAGGTGAGAGCTAGAGATTGGCTGTATCAGCAAAAAGGAAAGGAACCTAAGAAGGAAGGGCAATTTAGAGGATTTGCCGGTTCTGTTTCTGGTAATAGGGCCCTTATGATTGGTTGCTGGGTTTTTTGTTTGTTTGTTTTCGTGGTTTTTGTTTGTTGTTTTTTGATGGAAGGGGCAGGGTATTTCAGAAGCCGGTTTGGTTAAGCGGTCTTGTGCACGAGAGACTATTCTGGCTCCGTCTGACCCCCTAGAGCTCTAAGTCATTATTCCTAGTTCAGAATAATGACTCTGTATAAATTTCACTTAACAAGTGCTTTTCAGGGTTCTCTAGAGGAACGGAACGGGATAAGATGAACACATACATAAAGAACTCTTGCAACCAGCTTATAGTAAAATGATAGCAGTTGTCTCACACCTGAGGGGCTAAGACCCAAGTAGTTGTTCCATCCTTGAGGCTGGCTACAGGACCAGCCGGAGCAGTCCTACAGTGGCTGTCTCACATTGGAAAAATGAACTGCCTGGTAGATAGTCTGTCCACCAGGCTGGGTACCTCAGCAGTCTATCACCAAAAACCTGGGAGGTTCCTGGAGAGTAACTGGTCCTCAGTCAACATTGGAAGGTTGGAAATACTGGTTTGGGTATGAACAAAAGACTCAGCAACAGCAACATCAGAGGCCAGGAGAAGATGGAAGGCCAAGCAGGCTAAAGGGAAATAATCTTCCTTCTTCCCTGACCCCTCCCCCTTTTTTGAGTCAGGGTTTCTCTGTGTAGCCTTGGCTGTTCTGGACTTGCTTTGTAGACCAGGCTAGCCTTGAACTCACAGAAATCTGCCTGCCTCTGCCTCCCTGAGTGCTGGGATTACAAGTGTGTGACACACACACCTTTTAAATAGGCATCTATTACCAGAAATGCTGCTCACACTTAAGGTAGCTTCTTTGAGATCAGTTAAACAATCAGGACAATGAGGCTCCCTACTCAGATGATGATAATTTATGGCAAGCTGTCATTAAAACCAGCCACCACATTAAGATAAAGCAAACCTGTGCAGGATTAGATAGGAACATGTGAGTTCTAGAGGTGTGGTTCAGTATGAAAGTTTTAGGTTTCACTTTGTTGCAGGGGATCTGGTACTTCAACTTTCCCCTGGGGCTTCAACTATTGTGGTTCCCAAAGTCCCATCTCCCATCCCCTACACCAACATCTGGGCAGTTGCTGGAAATGTAGATGTGGGTAGTATGTTTCAATCTGAAAAGAAAAGCAACCTGGTGATTTCCATTCTGATTTGTTCTGTAAACAAGATGTTAACCCCACACCCAGAGGAGCCTTCCCTTGGTTTATGGAAGAAAGGGCTATCCAATGCTAGAATGCCAATTGAAATGAAAGCCAGTTCAGTTTCTAAGCGCATCGTGTCATTTTCTCTTCTGACATTCCTAGCATGCTTAACCTTGGTTGTTAATCTATTGGATTAACAAATAACAGGGGGCTGGAGAGATGGCTCAGTGGTTAAAAGCACTGACTGCTCTTCCAGAGGACCTGTGTTCTTTTCCCAGACCCACATGGCAGCTCACAAACACGTAACTCCGGTTTCAGGAAATCTGCTATTTTTCTGGCCTGTGCAGGCACCGGGAGCACCTACAGTGCAAGCAAGCGCGCGCGCACACACACACACACACACACACACACACACACACACACACACAAATTAAGAAGAAAAAAAAACACCTTAAGAGGTTAGCAAGGCATAGAGCATTGCATAATTGTGAGGGCATTTCTATCAAATCATGAGGGGTCTGACTTAATAATGGTATCATCCACTGATGGATGCAGAATTTAAGGATTTTTGGGAGACACTGGTGATGGAAGCCTCGCCCTGACTTCCTTTTCTCTGCTTCCAGACCACTTCCTCCTCACCAGGATGGACTGACACCTCTGAAACATTAAGCCAAAGTTAAAAATTTACACTCTCAGCTGATTCTGTAAATTATTGTGTCCCAATGATTCGAAATCTGACTACTGAAATCACCTTTGCTTGACTGGATTTCACATTAAAAAATAAGCATTTCATAACCAACTGGGAAATGTGACTGGCCGCCGTTCCTCTGGCTTAGAAGAAGCACAGCTCTTCTGACTTCCTGGGCTAGCTAAGTTGTGCTATTTCCCTCGTAACCACAGTCGTTGAACTGTGTACCCTTTGACCTGGCATCTTGGTATCAAGAAGAGAAAACAGTTTCCATATGAAACTTAAAAGAAACAAGAATAAATGGTGAAATAAAGGGCACATGTGTGCATACAGTCTGTGTGCAGGATGTGTGTGCATGTATAAATGTGTGTGCAAGTGTGTGCATGCAGAGGTCAGAAGACAACCTTGAGGAGTCAGCGCTCCCCTTCCACCCTCGTTTGACGAAGGATTTCTCTTGTTCCTGCTGACTCCATGCTGCATACTCAGGGGTAGGTGGCCTGTGAGGTTTTTTCAATCCCCAACACCTACATAAAAAGCTAAGCATATTGGTACGTAATTGTAATCCATCCCCAGGGAAATGGAGACAGGAAGAACCCTGGGATTTTCTGTCTAGCAAGCCTAGCCTAATAACTGAGTCTCAGGTTTGTGAGAGACCCTATCCACAAACAAGGTGGATGATTATAGAAAAATGACATCTGAACTTGACCATGGACCCCATATGCACCTGCACGCACACACACATACACACACACACACACACACACACACACACACACACACACACGTGCACATGCACACAAGATGGATATTATACAGGGGCTTAAACACCAGACAGGTGAGTCATTAGATAGTATTTTTAAAAATCTAGTACAGTTGTTCTAGAGAGAATAGGAAAATGAAGTTAAAACAGTTTGAGTATGGGTAGCATCCCCAAAGGCCCATGTGTTAAGGCCTTGGTCCCCAAGGTGCTTCTAGGAGGTGCTGCAGTCTTTAGGAGGTGGCATGAATCAGAGGTTCATAGGTAACCGCAGACATCACCTATGTGTATATCTGAGGGTTTATTAGAATGGCTTACAGACTGTGGTCTGGGTAATCCAACAATGGCTGTCTCAGCAGTCCCAACCAGGTGCTGGAGCCCTGGAGGATTCCTGAAGGGCCGCTGGTCTTCAGTGTACACTGAAGAAATGCCTCAGCAGCAGAATAAGTGAACTTGCTATGGAGAGTAAGGGGAGGCAGGCAAAAAGGAAAAGCTTCTTCCATGTCCTTTTGTGGGGGCTGCCACCAGATGGTGTGGCCAAGAGTTAGAGTGTTTCTCCCCTCCTCAAATATTCCACTCAAGACATCTCTCACAGGTGTGCCCAGCTGCGTGGGTTTTAGTTGATTCCACATTCAGCTAAGTTGGCAACCAAGATTAGCCATCACACCCTGGAAGGGAGCTATGAAACCCTGGCCCATTCTCCCCAGCCCCTCTCAGCCTTCTGTCCCCTGATATGAGCAGTTTACCCCACACATGCTCCCCCCCTCCATTGTCATCTGGTGCCATCCCCACAGTCCCAAGGCTTCTGATACCCATGTAAGGCTGGATACCTGCACACATGGGCTATACAGACCTTTTCTCTTTACCAGTTAATTGGCTGGCCGAGAAATATAAAACTTGGTACCAAGCAACAGGGCCATTATCATTCACTTAGAGATGTAAGGGGCCTTTGGGATTGATTTATAAGAAGAGTATGAAGGGCTCTGGATGACCAAGCTAGAACAATCCTAAAGTGTTATTAAGAAGATTGGGTAGATGGTTCCATGTTTAATAGCATACACTGCTCTTCTGAAGGACCTGAGGTTATTTCCCAAATACCTAGCTCAGGCAGCCCACAGCCACTTTTAATTCCATCTGCAGGGGATCTGATGTAGGCTTTTGGCCTACACACACACACACACACACACACACACACACACACACACACACACATGAATATACAGAGATACACACATATTCAAGATTAAAAATAAAATAAATCTTAACAAATCAATAAAATCACTGTTAAGAGGACCTTAGAGTGCGACAGTTGTGACAACTTTGAAGAGAGGATTACTGATAGCATTGTAAATAGTGAAAGCCATGCAGGCAATATTTCAGATGGAAACAAGGATGGTTTGTGGAACTGAAGAAAAGGCTCTCTTAGTGACAGCATGGAACAGTGTTTACCCACACTGAAGCTATTTATGAATGGCTAAGCTTAAAGGCAGCGAACTGGTTTGCCTGCCAGAGATATTTTTTCTCTACTTTT